AAATGTCTCCCTTCCGGGCGGCCGGGGGCCCGCGGTGTCCCGCCGGTGTCCCGCCGGTGTCCCGTGTGGCTGAAGCGCGGCCGGACCAAATGACTCCCTTCCGGGCGGCCGGGGGCCCGCGGTGTCCCGCCGGTGCCCCGTCGGTGTCCCGATTATGGTGATGATATTGATGATGATGATGATGGTGATGATGATGACGATGTTGATGTTTTGTTTTGATGATCGATAGTGAGATCGGTAGTGCTATCGATTGTGAGATCGAATGTCAGATCGCTTGTGAGATCGATCGTGAGATCGATTGTGATACCGAATGTGAGATCGATAATGAGATCAATAGTGAGATCGATTGTGAGACCGAATGGGATATCGATTGTGAGATCGATTGTGATATCGATAGTGTGATCGATAGTGAGACCGAGTGTGGGATCGATAGTGGAATATATTGTGAGATCGATAGTCAGATCGATTGTGAGATCGATCGATTGAGTTAGTAGTGGGATCACAATCGGTAATGAGATCGGTAAAGATTTCGATAGTGAGATCGATGATGAGACCGAATGTGAGATCGATTGTGAGCTCGGTTGTGAGCTCGGTTGTGATATCGATAGTGAGATCGATAATGAGATCGAAAGTGAGTTCGATAGAGAGATCGGTAGTGAGGCCGAATGCGCAATCGATTGTGGGATCGATTGTGATATCGATAGTGAGAACGATAGTGAGACCGAATGTGAGATCGATAATGAGATCGATAGTGAGTTTGATAGTGAGATCGATAGTCATATCGAATGCGAGATAGATTGTGATATCGATTGTGAGATCAATAGCGAGACCGAATGTGAGATCGATTGTGAAATTGATTGTGAGATCGATAGTCAGATCGATTGTGAGATCTATCGATTGAGATCGATTGTGAGATCTGTAGTGAGTTCGATAGTGAGATCAATCGAGTGCGACGTTGGTCCCTCCCCCCCGCCTCACCTCCTTATCACCCGAAGTGTGGTCTATGCGGTATATGTATATTATGATTTGGAACCCCCATTGTAGTTCGCGTGTCGCGGCCGTGAGTCTTGTTTCTCGTAGGTTGGCGGGTTCCTGGGCGCGTTGTAGCGGGGCCAGGTATACCTTCAACCGCACTTGCGTGATCAATATATATGCCAACGCATCGCGTGGGCTGATGCATCTATAAAATATTGTTGTCGTCGCCTTTTCTTCTGCTTCGGCGCCGGGCCATTTTGGGTGCTGCACGGGGCAATCTTGTTTGATGAACTCATCCTGATCTAGTTGGGCGTGGCCGTCCTCGGTCTTGGTGTAGCGCGCGGCGCAATTAATGTAGCTGCTTCTGTTGACCTTACAAGCGTCGGTGCGTATTTTCAACGCTTGACGTGCTCGTCAATCGCGTCCTCAACTCCCGCCGTATTTTTGTCGTCGAAGTGTTTGGCTGCTGGGAGGATTGGGCTGGTTTCGAACTCCTCGTCGCATGAGGTAGGTTAGAGCCCGGCGCCCTCTCCTGATGGTTCTGAGTTTAAGTGGGGGTGCCCTGAGGGCATCATTGGTGCCCGTGCCTGACTTCAAGCGCTGCAAGCAACGTTTCCATCCGTCGTGGGGGGCGAAGCCCGGCAACGTGCGCAGCGCCGATGCTGAACAAGGTGGGGGAGTAAAGCAGACCGTGAGCTCTTTCCCTCCAGTGACCTCGGCCAGTTCACGATAAGTCAGACCCTTTAAGAAACCTTTTGTCACACCTTCGTCGATGCCCGCGGATGCTATGATCCATGACTTCTCGCGCGCCGCCGCGCTCGCTTTCGGTCTCTGACTTGCTCGGCGAGCTGTGCCTGAGAAGGTTTCTACATCGAAATCTTCGGCGCCCATGACGCCGCGAAGGGCCAGGCGAAGCCTGACGGTTAGTTCCATCTCGTCTTTTTCATTCTTCGCGAACTTCCATGTACGCGCAGATCTAGATGTCATAAGGTTACGGGCGTAGGTATTTTTCGCCTCCTGCATCTTGAAGCACTTTTTGAAATACCAAAGTTTGAATTACGTGTGCAAAGGTTTGGATATCCTTGCCGTTTTCGCATGCATTTCGGCCTTCGCCAGCAAGTCGTCTGCCTTGGCGACCGCAGCTTTCTTGGCTGCGGCTGACGAGCATGCGCGCGTAATCGTTATCTGGCCGTTGTGAAGGAATTTTGC